GCCCCCCCCCCCGCCGATGGCGGCGACGGCGACGTGTTCGCGTCGCCGTCGCGGCGGAGAAACGACCTAATGGAGGAGTTTGAGGAGGCCGCGAACGGCGGCGTCCAAACCCTAACCCTAGGCGCGCTCGACAACAGCTTCATGGTCAACGACTCCGGCGTCCACGTGTACCGCAATTTCGACCGCGGGATCCACGGCAAGGGCGTCGCCGTGAAGTTCGACGGCGGCGGTGGTTTCCGGCAGCAGACGCCGAATAAGGCGCTTCTGATGCGCGCGGAGACGAACATGATGCTGATGAGTCCGTTAAACGATGGGAAGCCCCATGCTTCGAAGCTTAACCAGCTTGATATCGAAACGGGGAAGATTGTCACGGAGTGGAAGTTTGAGAAGGACGGTGCTGACATAACGATGAGGGATATCACCAATGACACCAAAGGGTCGCAGTTGGACCCTTCGGAGTCAACGTTTTTGGGGTTGGATGATAACAGGTTGTGTCAGTGGGACATGCGTGAAAAGAAGGGGATTGTTCAGAACATTGCCACGGCTAGTTCTTCCCCTGTTTTGCATTGGAGCCAGGGGCACCAGTTTTCGAGAGGGACTAACTTTCAGTGCTTTGCCACCACCGGTGATGGGTCCATTGTAGTGGGGTCTCTTGATGGGAAGATAAGGTTGTATTCGAATACTTCGATGAGAATGGCGAAGACGGCGTTTCCCGGGCTTGGTTCGCCGATTACTAGTGTTGATGTTACTTATGATGGCAAGTGGGTGCTTGGCACTACGGATACCTACTTGGTGCTTATTTGTACGTTGTTTACTGATAAAGATGGGAAGACAAAGACTGGGTTTAGTGGTCGAATGGGAAACAGAATTCCTGCTCCTAGGCTCTTGAAGCTGACTCCTCTGGATTCGCATTTGGCTGGCGCGAGCAATAAGTTTCATGGTGGCCATTTCTCGTGGGTAAGTTTTAAGATCTAAATTCTTGATACATGTAACATGTCCATGTAGCATCATCTTTCATGTAGTTATTTGTATATGAAATTTTTTTCAATATCTTCAACTTGCATTTAATTGTCTTTCATTGATCTTGGAGAACCTTGACTTTTAATTATGACCTATTAAAACAAGCTTTTGTTTATACTTGGCAGGATATGAGTAGAAATGAATGCATTAGAGAGAAAATTAGGATAACATTTATCATAGAAAAATGGTAGAATTTTGCCTTAGCTTGTTTGGACGTGTGGACAAGACTGTTAGAAGCCTTGGTAATTAGAGTAGATTAGAGTGAGGGTAGTCTAATCACTAGATGTAGAAGGAGATTGAGAAAGCTATGGTAGAAAGCATTAAAAAGGATTTAAGGGTAAATGATTTTTATCTATGATATAATGATATGATATAACTTACAATAGAATATTATGGTGTAATATGATTCTTGTTAGTCAAACTCACCTATTAGAAAAAAGCTTCTTGTAGCTGCTTATAGTACCAACATTTCTGCAAATCTCATTTTAGCTATGCTTTTGATATGGTGCAATTATTTCTCCTGATTATTGGCCTCTTATCATAACAGAAGTTGTTATTCAGATGCTTTCTGTTCCTTTGGTTTTTGGTTACACTGACAATGTTTACCAAGTTACACACACTAATGAATGGTGCCAAGTGCCAACTACACAAGTAGAAAATTTTCACAAATAAATATGCTTTTAGAGGTTTTATATGCCCCTGCCATGCCATTCATGTATGTTCTCCTTTGAAGGAAAGTTAGTGAAGGCAACTTTTATTTTCCATAAAGTTTGAATGTTTGATCTATGGAAACATGTTTGACAAATAGTCTTAATCAACTACATAGTTTATTGCCTTAACTAGCATATTAAAAGACAAGTATATCTTCCATTGTTCTGGGGCGCCTACTTTTTTATTCAAGGACCTGCCTATATATTTGGAAGAATTTTATACTTTGTATTTGGATATTGATGAAAACAAGTCTTCCATTTTGAAACCATCATTATAAATTCCTTATTATTTATTGTTTGAATACTGTTATGCTATTTATGGGCCTAGGGGTGTAACCGTGTAGGTTTTGTTGTAGATGATAACAATATAATGGTCATGTGATTCACATATCAGATCACTGTAGGAATTATTATGAAACTGATATGTGGTGGAAATGGAACAAGACATTCAAGTGGCTGACTGAAAAATGATAGGCGGGATAAATGATAACGGGTAGATTTGCAATGACTAAGTGAAGATATTTGAAAAATTGGCAAAAGGGGGATGCAAGAATTACGGGAGTGGTGCAAGCAAATATGCGATCACGGTGTGTAGATTTGTAGGACATAGCTTTAGGCACGATGAAAAAATGTTGTGATACAAAAATTGCTACATCTAGTGGAATTTTTACAATTGTTAATTGAGCTGAATTGCGAAAAAATTGTCCGTGATTGTAAAAGACTCTAGTAACAGGAAAATGGTTGTAAAAGAACATTTTCATATACTATGTGTATTTTTTTTTTTTAAAATAGTGTGTATTGTTAGATTTCCCTTAATTGTCATATTTAGTGAACTATAAATATGTATCTCAAGATAGAATTCCTTGCTTATTCCATGTTGCATACTTGCATGTGATGTATAAATTAGAAATTTTGTTTGAAACTGATGATCATTATTAGTTTATCGAGTCAGTCAACTTGCAGCATCTAGGAAGTATCTCATTCGTGTTTTGTGTTTCAGGTCACCGAGAACGGTAAACAAGAACGGCACCTTGTTGCGACTGTGGGGAAGTTTAGTGTGATATGGGATTTTCAGCAGGTGAAGAACAGTGCTCATGAATGCTACAGGAATCAACAAGGGCTGAAGAGCTGTTACTGTTATAAGATAGTATTGAAAGATGAGTCAATTGTAGAATCGCGATTTATGCACGACAAATTTGCTGTCAGTGATTCTCCAGAAGCTCCGTTGGTGGTGGCTACTCCTATGAAAGTCAGCTCCATCAGCCTCTCCGGAAAGCGACGTGGTTAAACAAACTTTGTTTACCTTTTTTTTTTTTTTTTTTTTTAAGGTTTCAAATTTCTATTGTTAGGAGTGCCTTTGAAGAATGTATTGCTTGTATTCAAGTCTTAGATGCTGATATTCTTCTGTACAGCGAGTTTTAGGTTGCTCTGTATCTATTTTCTTTCTTATACTGTGTTCATTTTGTTATTACAAGTTTGGGTTTGCAGACTGAACTGTACTTCTTTGTTTACAAATAAAAGAAAATTTTATTGGATATGAAGTACCGTAAGTTCCACCGTTGGAGTTTTCTCTCTCTCTCTCTCTCTATTTTTAATGTAATTAAAGGATTACTTATGGTCTGTTCATGTCATGGATGAGGAAGTTTTTTAATAAGTACTTTTATAATAGAAGAAAGTAAAACATATGATGAATTATTATTTTCATGAAGTTGAAATTTTATGCTCAAGTTAACTTATATAGTAAAATACATTTGTATTTCCTGTATTTTTTTTAAAGATTGTGACTGATACCTCTTCTTAATCTAAATTTACAGAAAATCACTCAAAAGTTGGAAAAAAAATGTTATATCAAAGTCTCCTAACCTTGCTCTAAATATGACTATCATGTGACATGTAAACTATTTTAATGAGTTTTTTTTTTCTTAAAATATTTTTATCTTTTTCAATTGTTCCACCCACGTTTTCTCTCAACCTTCACCTCTTTAACTTTATCATCGTCACTCACACCCCAAATGAAATTCAAGAACAAAAGAGGAGGAGTTTGCTACGTAAAAAAGAAGTTAAGGGTGAATAAATGAAGAGGGGGTGGTGTTATAATTATTGTATCCTCCTGGGTTTCATATTGACTTAATAGACTATAAAAATTTTGAACATTTCTTTTAGAAAAGATCTAGGTTTTGAGAGGAGTTTTTCCACCTTCAAGGGGTGTTAAAAACTCTCTACTTGAGCTTGTAACGGTTTCGAACCGAGCTTCCTTTTTAGCCTATTCGTCTTATTAGTTTAACTCAAGATCGAGATTTATATAGATATGCAATCTACTTGGGTCATGAGTGAAGGGATTATCTTGGATAAAGGGAGTAATTTGTATATTGATACTCCGGTGAAGAGATCACCAATTTGTGACTGGAACATTTTGGCGCTCATCGTGAGGTAGGTAGAACATTATTCTACGCCCGTTATAGTGTAAACAAAGGGGAAGACATGACCAAAGAGGGAAAATGGCGAGAGGTGTAGCGCCAATAACGAACAACATCGGAGCCCAATTGACAATGGAAGAGTAGTTGACAATGATCAACAATCTTAGGGAAGAAAATGTAGCAGCGTGAAGGAGGGAGGACCAATAATGGGAAAGGGCTAAGGAGTTGTATAGAACCATTCATACAAACCTATGTGCGAAAGAAGGAGGTTTGGTGATGGATGTTTCGAGGGACTTTCAACCATTCGTTGTTGAAATCGAGGAAGAGGAAGTCCCACAGGATTACAAAATCCTGAAGGTAGACCCGTTTGATGGGGCACAAGACCCTAATGCTCGTCTCACAAACTTCTGGGCCCAGATGATGATCAATGGAGGATCTTAGGGCATTAGGTGCAAAATGTTCATGGGGACATTGAAGAAAGCTGCTATGAACTGGTTCACTAGTCTCCCGGATCGATCCATAACCGACTTCGAGACATTTAGTCAATTGTTTGTCGCCCAGTTCGTAGCCAATAAGTGTAAGCCCACTCTTATTAAAGATATATTCGACTTAAAGCAAAAACAAGGAGAAAGCCTAAACGACTTCTTCATGAGATTTAATGGGTTGCCTGAGGATACCTATGATCGATGACAAGATGGCTATTGCGACTTTTCTTAAGGGTTTACGGTCAGGTATATTTAGTGTAGAGTTGGGAAGGAGAAAGCCCCGATCCATGACAGAAGTGAGGTCTTTCACTTTGAGTTATGTAGAGGAAGAGGCAAATCAAACGAGGAAGAAGGTTGAGGAGAAGTAGAACTCTACACCACAAAAGGTTTTTAACGAGGCACTGTATGTCCCTAGCTCCTGGTTGTTGACTAATATTTTAGTTTTTTATTACATTCTTAATGATTTGTTTAATAAAGGAGCTTTGAGGTTTAGCAAGTGTAACGCCCAAAATATGCTATTAAAATATAATTCCCTTTACTTTAAAACCATTAACTAAAACAAAAAAATCATACAAATATTCTTTTTTCCAAAGACATGTATATGTTTAAGGAGATGTTTTCGTATTAGAATTATTTTAAATTAAATCATAAAGTTAAGTTAAATAAAATCAATATAAAATAAAATAATAAAAATATTTTAGTTACCCCTTTAAAATTATAAAGATAAATTGAACCTATATTGATGAAATAGGCATAATTAAATAAGGACAATAATTTAAAAGATAAGTAATTTAGTGTACAAAGACGGTCAATAAGTCATATCCCCATACATATAGCTATAATATGTACATCCATTATTATTTTTCAAAAAAGATGAAAGATGCAACCCCAAACAAAATTTATGAGATGTAGGTATCAAGTAAATTACTGAGTATTAGCATGGAGAGTATGAAAAAATTCTCATCCTAAATATACAACTAAAAAGGAAATAACCTATACAATGAGCAATTTATACAAAATAAGAGAGCAAAATAACAACCTATATAAACTAACCTTCCCCAAACAGACTATCACATAATTCCTGTTCCTCTAGAGTCAAGTCTTCAAGATCATAGTCTCCATCATTAGCATACAGTACTTGAACTCATGTGTCCTATTGAAAAATCTGACGGGTAGGCCTACCAAAAACATCATGATCAAAGAGTTTCTAATAAAACCTCAAAGCATTTGCAGGTCTCTTTGTGCCATAATAAACGTAGTAGTATCGAACATGATGGATTTGCATGTCTGGTCTCCAATTGGAAGGCATCATAAAAGTCACATTCACCTCTATTGTAATTAGTGGTTGGGGTTGCTCACTTAAGGTAAGTACCAATAGTCTATAAAATACATGCATCCTAACTTTTATAGCTATCTCATGAGTATATCGATACTTAGCAAGACAGAGTGTTCTTTGTGGAGTTGTCATTTCCTAAAATATGGGCTATAAGGGTGAGTTTCCCCCGCTCCTCAAACTCCATAGACACAAAAACAAACATACAATAATGCATCATAAAATAAACAAATACATAATCATCAAATTCCTAATGGTTTTCTCAACAATTTACTTTCAAGTATTCTAAAAGAATCATTAACACATTAATTTGTTAACTTGGGCCCAAACACCGCGATCAAAACCTTTAAGTCATGATGGTCTTATGCCACATGTGGATAATTGCCAGTTGGTCAATGCTCTAGACAGATACAATGTCGGCGCATATGACCCCTGGCTAAAAGTATAGTTCACATCAACATTAGAAGTGGAACATGAGGCCTGTGATTTCTAACACGTCAAATGTGTACACTAAATGTCGGTCAGATTCACCACTTTCCAACTTTCCAAGGTCAAAAGATCCATTTTTTCTATACCTAAGTGTATCTCTGTAATTACCCACACGACCAATTAAAGTTTCCTTAATTCTACATACCATAATAAGAATTAAACCAATTTGAAAGAAAATAATACAAAACATTTCTAGCATACTAGCACTCAAAGGAAAATAAAATACAAGAAAAGTCACAAAAAAACGAGTAGAATAACAACTATAAACTTATATACCTCAAACAGTTCATTCCAATAAGTTAGATCAACACAAACAATAACCATGTATTACAATATCATCCTAACAAATATGTCGAAGGTCAAACACCTCGAACTCAGCTAAGTCGCACAATCCAAAATATATATATAAACAAGAAATAAATTCGCATGCCATAGTTAAATTGTTGGAGTTCACACTTTCACGATCTTGTCATTTTGGCAACTAACCTAAGGTTTCAAAATAAATATTTCATATTACAAACATCAATTTTATTCATATTATAAATTCATTTTGAGGTCAAAGTAACAAAATTAAATCATTTTAGAAACCAACTAAAACAAAAAAAAAACAATAGGTGCGTTAAAGTACCAAATCTTAAATATAAGTGCTAAATTGCTCAAAAACCAATTTTTTCACAAAATAAATGTGTAAACATGCATTTTTAGACTTTGTTAGAAAATTTTAAACACTAAAAACAATGTTAAAGTAGGGTAACCAAACAAAAAATATACACTATTTTCATGTTCCAAACAGTTGATCTCATAAAAGTGCTCAAAACTTGTTTTATTCATATCTTTTGCTAGAAAATTCTGTTTTGAAATATCTTTGAACCAAATCTTAGATTTTCATACCCAAGGAATCCATTTTTAGCATCGAAAATTGAAAATAACAATTATATAAATGCATACCAAAACAGGGGAGTGACGAATTTTTCTTAACAACTTTTCAAAATCAAAAGAAACTACAACAAGTAAGAGTTTAAAGGTTGGGATCAATTCCCCTTACCTCAAAGAAGCTTCACATAAGATAGGATGACAAAAGAACAAGCTTTTTAGAACTTTCTCCTAAAGAGAACAAGATTAAGGTAAGATAAAAGAGAAATAGAAGAAAAGAACTAAAAGAAGATGAAGTAGAAAGCTCCAAAAGCTTAAGAACTTGCCTTAGTTGTAAAAAAACTTCAAAGAAATAGAGAAGTTTTCTTTCTCCTTCCATCTTTCTTCAAGCTTCCTAAGAAAAAGAGAAAAGTGAGAAATGAGAGGTTTGATTTTAGATTAAAAGGAATAAAATAAGTATTGAATAGGGTTGAGTCAAATCAATGAATAGTAGTATTATTATTATTATTATTCTTTCTTTCTTTTCTTTTCCTTCTTGAATCCATATGATCATAAAAAAATAAAGGAAGAAGAGTAAAATTGATGCTTAATTTATAGTCAAAATAAACATAAAGTACTTATACTAAATTAATTGTTAAAAAAAATATGTGGTGGAAACTAAATTTTGAAATTTTATTGAAAATATTCTTTCAAATCAAAATTAATCTTTCACATAATAAAATATTTAAATTCATTTCCTAAAAAAATAATTCACAACTTAAAATAATGAAATTCATAGATATGAAAAAAAATCATGTGTTAATAGAATAAATAATTTTACGTACCAAATAAACAAGAATTTTTATTTATTTTATATATATATATATATATATATATATTTATACCTTTTGTATCATAATAATTATAAATTAAATAAATATCAAGCATTAAAATTTTAGAGTGCT